AGGTGGATTCTTGTGAGGTCCACAGCAGAAGAGGACCAGGCAAACCTCCCTTCCTGCAGTAGTCCAGCTGGCTACCCCTCAGTGCATTAATTATCGTTCTTGTTTAAAAAGAAAAAGAAAAGGAACACTGTCATGATTCCAAGTGATATATCTTGCCTTGTTTGGTCCTGATAGTGCTATACTTGCTGTTTGAAAATAGTGTGAATTGGTTCTTAGCCTCTGGTTATTGGTCGAAGGCTCTTAGCTGTCCTGTGACAGATGGGACATTCTTCTCTTTCTGCCAGGACATCTCTATCTCTACTACTGGTTTGCCTTTTGGACAGCTATAAATAAGACTTCTAAGACTCGTGTGGCTAGTGAATAAGTCTCAACGATCTTGAAAGCAGCCATACAATGAAAAGCAATTAGAGATGACTAATGTGTGTGCATCAGAGATGCTATGCTATAAAGGTGTTACTAAATTGTGGTTTTTCTTCTTAGGTGAGAACCATTGTGCAGTCTGCATTGAAGAACATCCCCCCCCCCAAGGTTAATTGCTGCACTGGGCAGGGGGCATTATTTTTTTCAGTACTGGTGAGGCGTTGAACCTCCTTTTCTTGGTGTGTTGTGGTGCTGATGAACACACACACACACACACACACACACACACACTTTGTGTTAAAGAACACAAAAGCAAGCACAGACAAAGCTCCATGCTAACCATTTAATGTAATGTGTAGTTGGGCCCTAACCTAACCTTGAAAACCAAACCCTCAAAACTAAGATTAAGCCGAGCAAACAGGATAAATGGGTGCATGTTAATATGCTAATAAACATACAAGTGAGGTCACTGCCAAATGCACTTTTCTTCCATGATAATTAAAGTCTAAGGGCTGCTGTGCCCCTTTCAGACACCATAATTCAAAAGCATCAATTCTTCGGTGATCAGCCTTCTTTATGGTCCAACTCTCACTTCCATACATCACTAATGGGAAAACCATAGCTTTAACTATACGGACCTTTGTTGGCAAGGTGATGTCTCTGCTTTTTAAGAAGCTGTCTAGGTTTGTCATTGCTTTTCTCCCAAGAAGCAGGCATCTTTTAATTTTGTGACTGCTGTCACCATCTGCACTGAACATGGAGCCCAGGAAAGTAAAGTCTCTCACTACCTCCATTTCTTCCCCTTCTATTTGCCAGGAGGTGCTGGGCACAGTGGCCATAATCTTAGTTTTTAGTTTTTAGTTAGGTTCACATTAAAATGCAAACCAAACTGAATTTCTGCCCTATTGCTACTTCCAGCTAAGCCTATGTTTGTATAAACTGTGTGCCTCATTTGTACCCTACAACATGTAGAGCACACATTGCGTGGAAAGAGACTACATGGATCCAGCTTGTACCCATGTATGATCTATTCAAAAATCCTAATGAAGGTTAGAGTCAGGGGCAGCAGCTGCAATCTTGATCTGTCCCCCTAAGTCTGATTTGTATGTACCATTTCAAGTAGGCCTTATGTTATGGGCTAATTGTCCATATTAATGAACAATGCAAAATAATCTATATCTTTTATACGTATTTGGCTAGTCCTGTACTTTAAAAAAATGTTTTGAAGAGCATTTGCGGGGCATTGTTGTTCTTAAATGTACTTTTATTTTACGGGAACTCTCTGAACAGTACTAGCCTTTCTGATTTGATTTGTGATATCAATAAGTTTTTAAGCACAGAGAATGACCTTAGTACATTTGAAGAAAGGTTAGTACATGTTGGAGGGCTAGAAAAGCTATTGCACTCTGTTTTCATTTTTTAGGATATCGGCTTACAAATGGTTGTCCAACAAACCTGCCTTTACTGCACATAAGTAGGCTATAAATAGCCCTCCAACTTAGAACGGTTTCAAAAATGCTATTGATTTGTATAGAATGGTGATCTCGGTGGGTGCTCCAGTTTGATATATGTCATAGGGTGATCCTTAATCTTGATGAACCCTGACAAAGAATCAACCAGCAGATGGGTTGATGCAAAATGCCCTCCCTTAGATCACCATTTTGGGAGGATCTATAGCCCATCAGCTGCAGTCTGGGCATCCTGGCAGAAGCACTTCCCCCTGGATCCCTTTAATGGGGTACCCTGATTCCTTGGACTGGAGATCGTATGTAATTGGCTCCCTGATGTCTGGGTCTGGAGGGTGGTGGTGCCTATGCCAGCCCTCCAGCAGCTTGCATACATGGAATTAATAACAGGGGTTCGGGAACCAGAGCAATTTCCAAAAGAATGTGGTTGCAGCTACATGCAAGTCTTGGCAGCTAACCCCCATTCTTTATGTGACATGGAGTACTGCAGGACATCTTCCTCCCATTCATGAGAGAGATGCGAGCCCATCCCAAACTGTGACCTAAAGGCTTCACAAAAATTCCATGTCCTAGAGTATGCTCAGAATGTGGAAGGAATAACAGGATTGTAATACTCTCTGCATCACCTCCAAGTGCCCACAGGATCTCAGGAAAGGGCTCTGGCTTGAAAGTGATCATCTTGAAATGGCAGAGCGTATGCTCTGCTGTCATTGGCACAAAACAGCAGTTTTGGAACAAAACTGGCTGAAAAGAATATGCTAGCCTGCAAATACTGGCGCATCAACTGAAACTGAGGCCTGAGTGTGGCTGGCTTCTAGAGGGGGGACTAGAGGGAAGAAGTTCCCCCTCCGGTCCTAGCATGGCTGGTGGAGAAGGGCTGCACCAAAGTTGGAAGGTCACCTACTTGCCATAGGCTGTGTCAGCCCGCAACTGGCAGTAAACATCCACTATTTCTTTAAAGTCACTATGTTCTAATATTTATATTAATCCTGGAGAAGGGAGGGATAATTATGAGCTACGTATTTGCAAATATGCTTCCTCTAGGGAAAAAAAACACCTCCTGAAATTAATTATGGCGGGAGAAACATTATTTTTAGAAGTGACAAATCATTAGTGTACTTAATTATATACTTGATGATTGTGAATTTTAGTCCAGAAATTGGATTTAAGTTCATACATCTGTTAATGGGCATTTAATCAACATGCAGTTCATGTTGGGTTTTGACAGGGTCCTAAAGTCCTCCTGTCTCCTTCCCAAAGCCTAATTGGTGCTTTCCCAGATTTGGGAGAGCTTTAGGACCCTGCCAGAGCCTCCTGCCCAGTGCCTCCCTTAGCTGACTTTGGGAAGGCAGCGCAAAGACTGAGGGGGCATCAAATTTTGGCCTTGCTCACCCTACGTGTGATGAGGCAGTGTGCAGCCTGTGGGTTCCATGCTGAAGTACTCTTGCGGCCCACTCGATATGAAAAAGTTGGACCTCCCTGGGTTAGATGGTTGAGTAATATCCCGGCAAGACCCAGTATCCTACTCCTGACTGACTCATACACCATGGCAGCCACACTTCATCCAACTTGGGCATCTTGAGGGGCTTCCCCCCTCCATTTACCTTCCACTCAGACTTTGAGAAAAGTGTCAAGGGGCAACAGTCCTGAGTTCTGTTAACACCAAACACTCTACCTTGTAAGAGTTCCATCCTGAGGCTAACTGAAGCCAGATTGTGTTAAGGCGAGGAAAAAGATCCCTATGTACCATCCTAACAACCAAGAAACATGATTTTTATGTATTTTATTGAATGGTCTCATCTCGATAAGGAAAGAGACATATGGGGTTGCTGATCAGTGTCTTAGCACCATGGACAGCGATTAGACAACAGCAGGGGTTGTCTATGGTATTATTAATTAAATTAATTAAATTTATATACTGGCCTTCATCCAAGGATCACAGGGCAGTTTACAATATTAAACCACACAAATACATAACATAGTAACAAACAAAAACGAATACCCCCACCAGCTTAAAAGGCCAGATATTGTTCAATTAGCCAAAGGCCTGGGAGAAGAGGAATGTTTTGCCTGGTGCCTAAAGATACATAACGAACATAATGATGAATGCTCCAGGTGAGCCTCCCTGGGGAGAGCATTCCACAAGCTGGGAGCCACCACAAAAAGGCCCACTCTCATGTTGCCACCTTCCATACCTCTTGTGGAGGAGGCACACAAGGAAGGGCTTCAGATGATGATTGCAGGGTCTGGGTTGGTTCATATGGGGTAGGGATATCATCACCTGTTGGATGACTTACCACCTGTTGTGGCGCTTACTACAATACAGGAGCTTCCCTGGGAAAAGGAGGTGGTCATAAGGTGCAACTCCATGCATCTTGGTGTATATCTCATAGTGTGTCTCATGTTGTGTTGGCAGGTGGGAGCTTCTACCATAAATATATAGCCCCTCAACGGTTGTATTTTCAGTACTGGTTTGGACCCTCAAGTACTTTTTATAACTTGGTACAAGTAAGCCATAATGCGGCAGGTGGCCTAGTTTTGTCAATGTTGTGCAATTGCTTTCCATATTACCATGCTATCTGAGAACAAAATAGAAGCTTTTATCAATGTTCTGTAGTACATTTTAATCAGCTTCTAGAACAGTGTTTAGCTTTCTTAATTTTGTTTAACAAGGCTCTTCATGTCAGAGTGCTTACATTTTTATTTCTAAAAGCATGGTATAGACTTTTTAAATTGGGATGGCAGATACGTGAAACGCTAATCACAGTTAACGAGAATTGCCGAGCATGTAAATAAAAGTGTTTTCCATTTAGACATCTTGATTGCAGATTCCATAAGCCTATTTTGCAGCCTTAAGAATATCTGCGGCAAATGTTTATTTATTTATTTAAGCATCCCATTCATCAGTCCCCAATAACAATCAATTTCCCCTCAAAATAAAAACAGATTAAACATCACAATTCCAGTGAAGCAGGAATCAATAAAGCTGCAAATAAAAGAACTCTAAAAACAAAACAATCATCCCGAAACAGAGAACTAGAGAGTAAAGCATTACAATAATCAATTAATAAAGAAAGCCAAAGGGATAAATTCTATAGAACTAAACCACTGTGTGAAAACCACAGTATAATGAACATCATCTTAAAAGAGAGAGAGAGATTACATATTTTAAAGATGTCGGGGAAAACAAAATGGAGTTTGCCCGATGCTGAAAATACATTTAGGTAGGTGCCAGACTGGACTGTCAGGGGGGAAAGCTAATCACTCTGTGACCAAGAGGGCAGTGTTTGTGTCTGTTTAAGTAATCAGAGGCTTGGTAGGTGCACGCAAAAGATTTCAAGGACAGTTTGGTGCCCATAGGCACCACGTTGGCAACCCCAAGATTCCCTGCAGCTTCCTAGAGATTGACTTTAGGTGGCCTGCAAGATTCCTTACTCTCCAGTGCTGCTTCCCAGAGTTAGCTCCACTGAACCTAATAAGCCTTTCTTCTGAACGGACATTAGGATTGCACTGGTTATGGAGAACAAGGCTCTCAACTGCTACTAGTCACAATGGTTATATGTTCTTCCTCCACTGCCAGGGACATTAGGCTTCTGAATGCCAGTCTGCTGGGAACTGCGAGTGGGCAGAGCACTCTTGGGCTCACATCCTGCCTGCTAGGGTTGATCTACTATGAAACGAAGATTAAGCTTCAGGGCCCCTAATCCTGGAGGGGCCCCAGAAGCAAATTTAGTCCACGATGGGTCTTGTTGACCCAATTTGAGTCGCATGACTAACATGGATTTTTGTTGTTGCCTAAGGTCGGCAGTTCGAATCCCCGCGACGGGGTGAGCTCCGTTGCTCAGTCCCTGCTCCTGCCAACCTAGCAGCTCAAAAGCACACCAGTGCAAGTAGATAAATAGGTACCGCTCCGGCGGGAAGGTAAACGGCATTTCCGTGCACTGCTCTGGTCCGCCAGAAGCGGCTTAGTCATGCTGGCCTCATGACTTGGAAGCTGTATGCCGGATCCCTTGGCCAGTAAAGCGAGATGAGCGCCGCAACCCCAGAGTCGGTCATGACTGGACCTAATGGTCAGGGGTCAGCAGCAGAGAAGTTGCAAAGTGTGGTGATCTATCATGGAACAACCCCATTGAAGAAAGGCTAACCCAGACCTCCTTGCTGGTTGCAAAAGGGGGGCATAACAGTTCAGCCCCCCCAGTATAGGTCTGCTACTGTGCCCTGCTTCCCACACAAGGGTGCCAACTTGAATAAAATATTGGAGGGGGGGAGGTACACCCTGTCCCAGATAATCACGTGACACCCCCCCATTTGAATGCCCATCAACTCAAATATTGGGGGGGCGGGCAAAGGGACCTCGGCCCCTAGGAGTTGGCTCATATGTTCCCACAGGAGCAGGCGAGCAGGACGCCGGCCTAGACGGCTCCAGACGATTCCATCATCTCCAGGTGAGGAGGCTGCGGCGAGCGCGCGGCGTTTCCTCGCAGCACCTGGCGGAGCAGCAGCAGCAGCGACCATTCGGCGCCTGCCGCCTCCGCCGCCACGCAGCCGGCAGCCCCTTCTGCGCCGCCCCCGGGAGACCCGGCGGCCACACGGCGCGGGAGACTCCGGGGCCCGCGTCGTCAGCCCTGCTCCGCCGCCTCCGTGTCCTCGCGAGGGAGACGGCGGGCGCGCGGGCGCGGGCACACACACGCTCTCTCGCTGCCCGGAGGAAAAGCGCCTCATAAGGAGCCGAGGCAGCGGGGAGAGGGGAGGAGAGCCACCGCGGCTGGCGGCCAACAGGTAAGGAAGGCAGTGGCGGCTGCGTTTTGGCGCGCCGGGCTGAGCGAGGAGAGCGTCGTGCTGGAGGCGCCCGCTTGGCTCTTCCCCAGTCCGGCTGCCCCCCAGCCAGGGGAAGGCTGCGGCGGGGCGCCCTGCTCCCTGGACGAGGGCAGCCTGTGGCGCTGCCCCTCACTGGAGGCTTCCTGCGTCGAGGCGAGCAAGTGCCTGCTAAGTAGGACTTGGGGTGCAGATACGTGTATGTATGTATGTGTTTGTTTGTGAGAGAGAGTCGGCGTGCGCGCGCTATGGGCGCGCGAGACCCTGCTGCTGCTGCAAAGCCAGAGCTTGGGTGCTTGCTGTGTTTCTGCCTAGTTGGTATTATCTCCTGTCTTCGCCACCCGCGCCCCAAAATAATAACCCGTGCTATCTTGTAATTGAGATGCATGCAATATCCTCAGTCTGCATTGCACCTGCAGCAAGTTAGCAAAATCCCTGCCTGGGTGGCTGGATCGATTGCAGCGTCGGGAGGCTTGGGGACAGCCTTTATTTATGTCTGTGTGTGTATGCGTGGCTGTTTGTTCGGCTTTTGTTTTTTCCCCTTCTTCGGTGTATGCATGTAAACATGCCAAGGGAACCTTAGGAAGAAAGTTGTGGCGAGCAGCCTTGATGCTCTTCCATTCATATCTTCCTAACTTCTGCCTTTTTTTCCAGCTCAGTGAGTCTACTCTATATTTATCTGTGACGTTGGGGTGATGTCATATGTGTCATGTTGGTTTATACTGCGTTTATATATGCTGCCTTGGTGATACAAGCAATTTTTTTTAATATAAAAAACGTGTTTTGTCTGCAGATAGAAAGTTCTGCAGTGGCTGGTCACTAGAAACTTTACTTCATTTAAGGTGGCAGATTCTCCTCCTCCAAATGACTTGGGGAAATGTGATGCTTGCTCAAAGTTATATGGCTGCTGTGTATGTCAAAGTGAGCCTCACTGGGTTCAGTGGAACTTAGCATAGCATAGCACTGGAGCCTACCATTACAGTCTGCACAATTCAACTTTGATTGTACATTTTCCAGAGGACCTAGGCTATTGGGTGACTAACAAATATATTAAAAAATGGGTCTCACTGAGAATTGGACTGCAGCCCTATACAGACTAATCTAGCAGTATGTATAAATGAACTCAGTGGGACTTTCAGTCTGAATCAGAAGTATATACATTTATGCACAATTTGTGTTTTATGCTAGTAAAAAATAAAAAAGAAGGATCCTTATTTAAGATATTTAAATTGTTGGTTTCTAAAAGGTGATGCACCTGCTAGCTTTCTTTGCACTGTTAAAATTCTGTGAGGTTGAATTCAGTTTTGGTTTTTAAGTGTTCTTGCAACACTAAGAAAACAAACAATGGGTTTGAATTCAGACTAATGCTTTAATCCTGACCCCATTTATCTGAGGGTAAGCCTCATTGAATTCATTTGGTGAGCATGCTTTAGGCTCCGCTGTAAGTAGTCCGATTTGGGGCCCTGTTGACAGTGAAACCTAAGCGCAACAGAGGTAGGGTTTATAGGGTTTACTGTAGCTTTCAGTGTGATTCTATCAGTATTTACTTCAAAGTAAGTCCTGTGGATTTCCCTCAAGCTTATTTCCAAAGAAGTGTACCTACAACTGCTGACCAGGTCTGGTTTTGACTTAATATTTCAGTCATCTTTTAAGTAGAATTTACCTATGAAAACGTGCAACTGGAATGTATTATGAAACCATGAAGCAGAGGACAGTGCTGTTTCTGAAGGGCAGCACAGAAACAGATTTTCTGCTCATGGGTTCTGGACTGCACTGGTTTTAAGCAACTGGTGTTTCTTCTCCTGCCTCCTGTGCACCCCTCCCAGACAACTCCATAGTGATGAAATGTGGATGCCTTGATTCCTTCCTTTCTGACGTCTCTGATTATCGCTTTTTTTGGAAGGGATAGTTTAGAGGCCCTCTTCTCCATCCAACTGAAAGGGTGATAAATGTTGTATAGCAACTGATTAAAAATATCTTCCACGCCAACTAGATTAAGAACATAGGAACTAAATTATCCAAACCACTGGTCCATGACCATCTAACTCATTATAGTAGAAAATGACTTGCAGTGACTCTCTGAGATTTTGGATAAGGTCTCTAAGCTGTACCTGGAGAAGCCAGGGGCTGGACCTGGGAACTTTTGCACGCAAAGCAGATATTCCACCACCAGGCTATGGTCCTTACCCTAAAAGAATTAGGTCGGCATTTATCAGTATCTTAAATTATTGTTTAATTACATTTTGTAAAAATGTGATTTTAGATATAGTAAACCCACCTCACAGTGGCCTCAGTTTTGTGTTCTAAAATCAATATCTGCCCAGTGTGAGCTTAGAATCATAGAATTGTAGAAGTGGAAGGCATCCCAAGGGTCATCTAGTCCAACCCCCTGCAAAATGGTTATGTGCTTTGCATTTTGTGAAATGCCAACTCGGAAATTCTGGTGTGTCTAGCCTTCCAAAAATAGCATATGTAAACTGACAGCACCCCTGAGCGATGTTTCTGTTCTTTAAAAAATATTTCTGAGCTTCATAGTGTTGGTGACTCCAAGCACGGGTGATTAAAATGAGGTGCTTATAACTTTCCATAGCCAGTATGGAACATATTGTGATAACTCTGTGTGATGCTTAGTTCCTCTTTAAATTGTCTGAAGATTTTATAATTGTGTGCTGTGTTAAACACATGTGCTCCAAGTTAGTAACATACAAGTTTTTAATACAGCTGTGTTTAGCAGCTATTTATTTCTGTGTCATGTTGCTTTAATTAATGCAAATCGGCACACTGTGGTGAAAGGCATCAATATTTCCATAGTCAGTTCACATGAACCAATGCATGTGAAGATTTTTACGCTCTTAGTTCATGCATATAGTGCGTTCATTCCCTGATAGAAACGTGTACTGAAATACTTGCCTAGTCAGAAGCAACTAAAACTGTACATTTCTTCATTTACCAGTAATGGCTAACATTGTACAACACTTACACCACAAGCCTATGAATGTCTACTCTGAAGTAAGCTCTGCTGAGTTCAAATGGGGTTTACCCCCAGGAAAGTTTGCATCAGATTGTACTGTAGCCTTTAAAATGCAGCCTTCAGCAATACTTTCTGCATATGTTGTCTGAAACAATGGCAGCATCCCAGTATGGCCCCTGAACTCTCCTAAGGACATAAGAACAGCCATGCTGGCTCAGACCAAACAGTCATATAGTTCAGCATCCTGTTTCTCAAACACCCTGTTCCAACTCTGCCCCAAAAGCAGGATACCAGGACAATAGCACTCTCCTGCTGTTCCCCAATAAGTGGTATTCTAAGGCTTACTCCCTCTGATCCTGGAGGTAGTATATAGTCATCTTGACTAGTATCCAATGATACCATTATCATTCACAATGTTTTCTAATTTCTTTTTAAAGCCATCTAGGTTAAGTATGAATCATAAGGCTTGACGGGACCACAAGGATCATCTAGTCCAACCTCCCTGCAATGCAGGAATCTTTCACCCAATGTGGGGCTCGAACCCACAACCCTGAGATTAAAGAGTCTCATGCTCTGTGGTTGATGGCCACCATCGTATCTTGTGGTACTAAACTCCATAGTTGAACTATGCATTGTGTACAGGGTATTTCATTTTGTCTGTCCAGCAATTACAGATTCACTGGTTGACCATGGGTTTTTGTGTTACGAGAGAGGGATAATTTTTGTCTCTCTATCTGCTGGCTCCACACCCTGCATAATTCTATTGTTGTTGTTTCTTCCACCCCATTTGCCTGCCTTTTTTCTCAGCTCCAAATGTAACCATGCCCTTTGGAGAGTTCTTTGGTCCTCTAATCACTTTTGGTTGCCCTTTTCTGCCCTTTTCCCAGCTCTATATTCTTTTGAAATGCAATGTCCAGAACATAATACACTGAGTGTGGTCCCAGCATAGATTTGTTGGCCCTTTCCTAATCATCCCCAGTACAAAATTCACCTTTTCCCCCCAGCAGTTGCACACAGGGTTGGCATTTTTATTGTGCCCATGAGATGTCTTTCCCAGTTGCTTACAGCAAGCTCAGATCCTATCTATATATATGTAGAGTTTGGATTTTTATTTTTTATTTTTTTGGCTCCAGTTTCTCCGTTGGCTACTCGGAACAGCATTTGCTGCTTTAATGCCGTTCAATTTGGAAATAACCTTCTGAAGCTGTTCAAAATCTCTTTCTATTTTCACCACCCTGAATAATTTGGGCTGTGTATGCATTAGCATTTACTCTGCCTCCAGTGTGCTCCCACCACTAGTCTTTGAAGCTGTGAATACAGAGCCGGCCTGCCTATGAGGCAGAGTGAAGCAGCTGCCTCAGGCAGCAGAAGCACAAGATCCAGCGCCCCGTCTGTCCCACCACTTTTGCCAGTGGCGGAACACTCTTTGGGAGCGCTGCTTTGCTGCTCATATTCTCTCCCCCCCCCCATTCTGCGTCAAAGCACTGCAGAATACTCCCCCAGGGGGTGTGCTCTGGCATGCAGCCTAAATGGGGTCAGGGCTTGGGGGGCAGGGAGCAGCACATTCAGATAGTGAAGGAGGATGGGCTGCTTCTGTAGGTACACAAACATGAAATATCCTGTTGTTTCCTGATAAATACTCCTGCTTGATGCATTTCAAAACAGTTTCCATCCAATTTTAAAATGTATGCCACCTTCACTTCATAGTTAACCGAAGTGTGTACATTTGAGAGATCCTCTCTGGTTTGTACAGCAATGTGCAACAGTGGTTTGAAGTGCAGCAGGGATAAGCAACCTTGCTGTGTTTCAAGCTGCTAATGTGTACCTAGCCTTAGTGTCATTAGTAAGCTTGACCCATCTCCGTGCTCACCCAATCTCATCTCATTTATGAAAAAGTTTGGGAAAGCCAGGGGGTATTCGGAGACAGTTTGTGAAATGAGGGTGTGCCTCTTTAATCAAAATCCTACTGGGCACACCCACGTTTTTGGACATGCTTGAGGTATATTTTTACAAAGGTTGTATGCTACCCCCAATCTCTGCCGAGTGGTGCATGTGATTGCAGGGGGCTTCCAGGCGCTCACATGGGGGCTGTGTTCCCTTTGAGAAGCAAGACGCAATGGAGGCTGTAGTGTCTTTAAGAAATATGGTTTAATTACACATATTTGCATCTGAGTTTAGATGAAGGGGGTGCAGATATTACAGCATTGTCATCTCAAGAGCAGCTTGTTCTTCATAGCAGCCCAACAGAACCATCCTAAGCATCATTCCTTTGATCCTGCTTCCCAGCCAGCTATAATGTTCTGCCCTTCAGCCCTTGTTTTATGTTCTCCCTTTTTGTTCCTTCTCCTTCCCAGAACACCTAGCCAAGCCCAACACCTCCTCTTCTGCCTGCTCACCCCTTTTACTAAGCCTTGAGTCCAAGAGGCAAACTTTCCTGAGTGGCCTGAGGCCCTGCCCACCACATTGCCATCCCTTGTTTTGCACAGACCCAAACACCTTTCTTGATGAGTAGATGCCTGGTCATTGTTTCACAGTGACTTATGTTCAATCAGCCCAGCCAGGCTAGTTTGCATAAGGTAAACCCGGGAATTTCCATGGCACAGTTCAGGAGAACTGCAACAGCCTGTATCTTCTCTTCAGTGTTACAAATATGATCTAGATGCTACCACTGATTAATTCCTAACATTCACTAACAGACTCTTGTACCCTGGCTATTGCACTATCCTCTTCTCAAAAAAAATCTTCTGACCAAAGATGCAATACAAAAAATAAAGGACAGAAGAAATCAGATTTCTGCAAAGATACATACAGAAAAGTTAGTAAGGCATTTGAAAAGAAACCTAGTTTCAGCACAACATTAGATCATTTCCAGGTAATTCCCAGCTCCCCTGGAATTTTTCAGGCTTTCCCCTTGGGGTACACTCTGGTCAATTCAGCATCCTAATACAGCTTACCTATTCACCCACATTGCCCTAGTGGTGGTTTTCATAAGCCAGGATGCAAGCCTTGTTGCCAGTTATCTCACCTAAAAGCACTTCTCCATCATCATCATCATCATCATCACAATCATTAGTTATCAGAACAATTCCTAAACTCCTGTATCCCAAAGCACTTTTTAAAAACACACACTGGAAAAGCCCCACAATCTCCATCGCTGTTCAGTTCTCTGTTCCCCATGTCAAAATGTTTACCTCCAGGGAGGAAGAAAGGGCAGTTGTGGGGTACTCCCATAGATGTATTAAATCGCAGGAAATATGGTGGTAAAAGAAGGTCCACGTTGTCAGGAGTTCAGCCTACCCTTGAGTAGGACCCTGGCAGAAACACATGCCTGACTGGCATGTTCCCTCCCTCCTGGTTGTTTGTTTGGGAGCTTCAAAAGCTTTCTTCTGCCCAAACATCACAGTGACCGATGCCAACAGACATTGGCACACTTAGGGATCTGCAGAGTCTTCGCAGCTTTTCATGACAGACCTCAGCAACTCAGCATTTTGGCTAATCTACTTTATTTACATATAAACACACACGGAGCACTGCAACATGGCTCCCTCTCTCTCTAGCAAAGACAAAGAACAAAGGACAATAGTCCCACTTCACGGAACACAGTAACACAAACATCCTGTTTCCGTCACTTCCCACTCTGTGGAGTCAAAACATATACCATCATGTGAAAGTCAACAATCCCATGACTGCAATCATGGAGCAGGAATTCTAACACATGTAACATTTGCAATCAAGGAAGGGGCTGCAAAGGAAAACATATGTGGGAATGTCTGCCACCACCTTTCATTTCTCCTTCCCCAAGGTAAGGTTTCTATGAGTTGTGGTTTTTTTTTGTTTGTTTGTTTTTTTACATTGGGAAAGGGAGAGGAAATGAATGGAAAAGATCAGAGAGGCCTGATCATTGTGGGCTGTGCTTGCCACAATTCAGCTCTCAAGAACTGATTCAAGAGTGCTTGACTGTTATGAGAACTCCTCAATATGTAGAGGTCTTTACACGCCAAGTTTATACCTGATGCCCAAACTTTACATCTGATGTCAGAATTGTTGAGAGGGTCAAAAATGAAGGAGCTGCTGCAAACATCTTTTTAAAAATTATAGCTGTATTTCTGTATACCATATGCTGTTAGAAAAAGGTGTTGCTAGGTTTTCATTTCATAATGTCTGAAGATGAAATGGCATCTGTAAAATAAATAAATTGTTAAGTTGGCAATTGCTCAGATTATTGACTTTTTTGAGTAGTTTCTAATAGCTCAATACAAACAAAAGAATTAATGAAGGCATTCCACAAGCAGACAATTTTGTTAGGAGAGAAACAGAGTTGCTTTTTTAATCCATAAAATTGTCTCTGTCCTGCAAATCTATCTAAAATGGTTTTGCAGGACTTATTTATTTATTTCTAAGTAGTATTTTGCAGTTCAGTTTGGGGAGTGCGTACTTAGGTTTAAGATAAAGTTTGTGAGCATTTTTAGTAATGGTTCCATATATATGTAATTACTTTATTCTCTCTCTCTCTCTCACACACACACACGATGCTTAATATTTAATTGAGAATAAAAGGGAACTTATTAATAGTTTGTTCTCATTAGTGCTGCTATTCAGTGTCAGTTGTTGGCACATTGTAACTCTCTTTATTATGCTGGACATGAATGTCCCCATTCCATTTTTAATTAGAGAAAATCCTGTTCTGTTTGGACAAGTTTAGAGGCCCTGCTTTCATATAGTGTTTGTTTTTTTAAAAGATCGTTTTCAAAATGTAAGGATATTATGCAGTGTTTTGTAGAAAGTTCTGTAGCTGTGCATTGGCAAGCTTTTTTTTTTTTTTTTTTGGCTTTTAAAATCGGTGCATATTTACTCAGAAGTAAGTCCTACAGTTACTTGGAAAAAGTAAGAATAACCACAGTGACCTGCAGTTTATCTTTTTCTGCAGGGTTTTCTTTTTGGTGTTTTTTAAAACTGAAATTAGAAACTGCAAATTACATTGCGGGAGGGAGAATCTGTGACTTGCTGTAAATGTACAAGAGTGAATGTGACAAATTTCATTCAGGGTTTCCAGCAGCCCAGACTGTTGTTTTAATATTTCACTTCTACAGCTGTACTGACAGAATGTTGACTACATAAGCAAACTTTGAAATAATTAAAGCTGTTATGTTGACAGCTAAGCAGCCAACGTGATATGTATCCTGTGTCCCTAAAGCTGGTCCTAATATATTTGCGAATATATTATTAAAAATTGGCTTCCAGCATTTTGATACTATGCATTTGTCATAGCTCTCATTCTGTTGCAAAAAAAAATGAGAGTCAATGGAACATGGTTTCAAAGAGAGCTGAATCAACACTGTGGCCTGGGTCATGCATCTGGCATCCTTGTGGAATGTATGAGGCTGTTGACAGGCTCATGAGCTGGGGCCCATGTGGAGAGCCATGTGGTTCATGTAAAAAATGAATAATAATGATGCAAACATGCAGATCCAGGGCACCATGTTTCATAAAAACATACTGTTCTAACTAGCCCTGTATTTTGTGATGTTGTACCAATATCACCACAACCCAGGCAGGCACAGAAAGCCTTCTGAACACTTTTTTTTAGGCCTTTCTGGACTATTTTTTTAAGCACATTGGTTGTGCAATTCTTGTATGAGGCCACAACATCTTTCCTCAAGACAGTTCTCTTGTACTATAAATATCTTACCTTCTGAGCACACAAACAGCAGTTTTCTGTTACTGGTAAAAGGTGATCAGTTATTTTCCCCATGGCTGTTCAATCTCTTGTGATCATGGGTATTGTGTGGAAGGAGGTAAGTTAAGGATGTTTGTCAATGAGTGCCCATAACATAACTACAGTAGTGATGAATGACACAACTCCCTCCACCCCCATATCCTTGTTATTTTAGTTGTACATCATCAAGGGATGGGAGTGCTGATTCCATATGAAATACTTACATGATTATTTAACTGCAACCAGGCCACATAGAAGTCACACAGAGAAAATAATAACAATAACAATAACAATAATAGTAATAGTAATAGTAATAATTTATTACTTATACCCCAACCATCTGGCTGGGTCTCCCCAGCCACTCTGGGCGGCTTCCAACAGGAGATTAAAAATACATTAAAACAACAGTCATTAAAAAACTTCCCTAAACAGGGCTACCTTCAGACATCTTCTAAATGTCAGATAGTTGTTTATTCCTTTGACATCTGATGAAGGGTGTTCCACAGGGCAGGAGCCACTACTAAGAAGGCCCTCTGCCTGGTTCCCTGTAACTTTGCTTCTCACAGTGAGGGAACCATCAGAAGGCCCTCAACACTGGACCTCAGTGTCCGGACTGAACAATGGGAGTGGAGATGCTCCTTCAGGTATACTGGACCGAGGCCATTTAGAGCTTTAAAGGTCAGCACCAACACTCTGAATTGTGCTTGGAAACGTACTGGGAGCCAATGTAGGTCTTTCAGGACTGGTGTTATGTGGTCTCGGCGGCTGCTCCCAGTCACCAGTCTAGCTGCCACATTCTGGATTAACTGTACTTTCCGGGTCACCTTCAAAGGTAGCATTGCAGTAGTCCAAGCGGGAGATAACTAGGGTGTGCACCACTCTGGTGAGACAGTTCGTGGGCAGGTAGAGTCTCAGCCTGTGTACCAGATGGAACTGGTAGATGGCTGCCCTGGACACAGAATTGACCTGTGCCTCCATGGACAGCTGTGAGTCCAAAATGACTCCCAGACTGCTAACCTGCTCCTTCAGGGGCACAGTTGTCCCATTCAGGACCAGGGAGTCCCCCACACCCGTCCACCCCTTGTCCCCCCCAAAACAGTACTTCTGTCTTGTAAGGATTCAGCCTCAAACTGTTAGCCCCCATCCATCCTCCAACCACCTCCAGGCACTCACACAGGACCTTCACCGCCTTCACTGGTTCTGATTTGAAAGAGAGGTAGAGCTCTCTTTCTGACTAGAAAGAGAGGTAAAGTGTTTCTTGCCTATGGAAAGTTTATTTTAACAGGAAGAAAACTGCTTGGAGTCTGTTACTTCATGAGTTTTTTATGATACATTGGTATATAAATATATGTATAAATAAGTCATAACTCACTGTTACATAGTAAGTGTTTGCGGAATTACATCTTTCCTAAGTCCTGTACACAATGGCTTGATCCACATTTCTTGGACGAATGCATGGGTTGCAAATTAGTTGTCCACTGGATTTTGCACTTCTTTGAATGCCGTGACAGTTCTTGGCAGTTTAAACAAGCATTTAAATATGTAATTTGAGAGAGAGAAACATATATTTAAGTACATATTTATTTTGTGTTACATATGTATATGTATTTTTAAAATCAGAAAGCAAATACTTATAGGTAAAACCATGCGAAATGAAAACACATATATTGTCCATTCCTAAACTGTCTACACAGGAAAGCTAATTCCTTGCTGAGTTTCCTGGCAGAAGGAGAGGATGTAAAGCCACTTTTCTCCCAAATTCTCTGGGTTAGCTTTCTTCCTAAGGTTCCTTGAGCAGTCAACTCCACCCCCGTGTAAAATTACCATTCCCCAATCATCTCTCCTGTTTTATCTGAGAGTAAAATACTCTACTACAGTTCTTATTTTTGCAAAGAAATGGTTGCCATGGGGAAATAGTCAAGGTGCTCTCCTGATCCTTTATTGTATATCACATGAATAGCTTAATGCAGTAGAAAGTGACTAATCCTAGTCAATTTTCTTCTACGCCTAGTGCATAAGAGCTGGAATACAGTCTATGATCTTAACAGTTGCATGTTGGAACTTCTCCTGGATAGTGTACTGCAGTTTGCATTGAAGGTGAGGGATTACCTGTTTGAGTGCATGTGCAAAATATAAGCTGCCTGTTCATACAAAACAGCATGTTAGAGAAGGATTCTAGTTTGGGGTATGAAGGAATAATTTTAATTGGGAAGAAAAGAAAATTTCTAAGCTGACACGGGGTCAATGTCGTAAGCGAGCTTGTTTCTATTATATGCAGGACTTTTCACGCGGCATTTGTCTTGAATTGTGCTGAAGCAGATTCTGCAGCACAGTTTAGAGAAAATAGGGCTAGCACTTAAAATGCTTTAATTGCAAAGAATAAAAAAACCGTGAAAGTTTACGCATTGTTGGCAAACAGATCTTTGGCAAACACATGACCATGCCCCCAATACAGACAAAGTTAGTTGTGCTTAAGTCTGAAATGAGTGATGTTTGCCTTTAGGTAAAGGTAAAGGGACCCCTGACCGTTAGGTCCAGTCGTGACCGACTCTGGGGTTGCGGCGCTCATATCGCTTTATTGGCCGAGGGAGCCGGCATACAGCTTCCAGGTCATGTGGCCAGAATGACTAAGCCGCTTCTGGCGAACCAGAGCAGCGCATGGAAACGCCATTTACCTTCCCGCCGGAGCGGTACCTATTTATCTACTTGCACTTTGACGTGCTTTCGAACTGCTAGGTTGGCAGGAGCAGGGACCAAGCAATGGGAGCTCACCCCGTTGCGGGGATTCGAACCGCCTACCTTCTCATCAACAAGTCCTAGGCTCTGTGGTTTAACCCACAGTGCCACCCGCGTCCCGTGGATGTTTGCCTTTACCCTCTCTTAATTGAGCCATGCCTTTTTAGATATGTTCTAGAGCAAGTGAGTATCGCCCCACCTTAAATCACAGTCCCATAGTGTCTGGACTGAAGTAAGTCCCATTGAATTCAGTGGATATAGGACTGAAGCCCTCATCAGTTTGTTTTAGCTTTGTGACATTTTAACTGTCCATCATTAAATGTTCCATATTGCACCAAAGGCTGGAAGCACAAAATCTCATATTGGTCTTGCAGAAGCTACTAAGGCATCACTTGAAATTATCATGATGGATCAGTATGAATTTCTTTCTTGGTTAATATTGCTCAAGATACCATTACTGTTTGGTGAGCTTTTCTTGTCTCTGTGATGAGAAAAATAAACTTGACGGATGATCCAGTATTTGAAATGCACAAGATTGAATTCTTACTTCAGCGTGGATGAACATAAGGTCACAGGCATGCTTTTTGTCATTGACAACACAGGAAGAAAATCTGAAAGCTCTCCAAACAGAATTTTGTGGCTCTTAAAATTGCAGTGATAATTCTTTTAGACGAAAATATTCCTTATGGTCACATACAAAATGGACATATAAATGAAAAATGGTGAATATAACCAGGCTATAATAGCAGTATGCATCTATGGGAATTGTTATCTTTTCTATATTCAAAGTTTAGACACTTAACAAGCGATTAAAGTTTTAAATTAGAACCAGCTATTAACAGTGACTGCATTTTTACATGTTCTACATTTGTTTTGACAAGGGGTTGTTGCATAACTGTGATAGGATAGTCCATGTAAAAGGAATGAAACTCAGGGATTAAGAGAGAGTTCTTATTTTTGCATTCCCCACCCCACCCTGCAAGATAGTTGAGTTCCCCAAATATATGCTGCATGTACTGTTGCTGCCAATATCTTCTGGTTGATGAATTTTAGTTGGATACCTAGCTTGCCTTACTAGTCAAACCGTACACCTACACCAATCCTGCAGTCCTGCAAAGCTTCTGTTAAAACTGTTCTATGCAGCTGAACAGAAAGCATTCACCTCCTTGACTTGTTTGATGGAAGAGAGGCAAGGCCCATCTAAGACATTCTGCTAAAAAGTTGTAAGACATTCTGAAGGAAAGGACAAATGATGTCTCCTGCCCCATTTGTCACATACAGAAGCTGACTGGAATGGCTGTGAACTTTACTTCACAGCTGGTGATGGGAGAGCAACCGTTATTGCACCTGAGTCATGCAGGCCACAACACACATCCACAACACACATGTAAAGCACATGTTTCCCTCCAGTCAAAGAATGTCGGGAATTGTAGTTTTCCCCTTGTAGAGCTACAATTCCCAGCAACCCTTAACAAAATGCAGGCTCCAAGGTTCATTGTGAGAAGCAGTGTGGTTCAAATATGCTTAAATTGCGGGGCTTATTTCCAGCCAGAACTTGCCGGAACTTTGTTTTGGCACCTCTCATGTGGCTGCCATTGCCCTTATAAGAGAACAAGGGAGGCGTTCATGGTGAGTTCCGGCACCTCTTTTTCTAGAAAAAATAAGGTAAAGGGACCCCTGACCATTAGGTCCCGTCATGACCGACTCTGGGGTTGTGGCGCTCATCTCGCTTTATTGGCCGAGGGAGCCGGCGTACAGCTTCCAGGTCATGTGGCCAGAATGACTAAGCCGCTTCTGGCGAACCAGAGCAGCGCATGGAAACACCGTTTACCTTCCCGCCAGAGTGGTACCTATTTATCTACTTGTACTTTGATGTGCTTTCGACTGCTAGGTTGCCAGGAGCAGGGACCGAGCAATGGGAGCTCACCCCGTCACGGGGATTCGAACCGCCGACCTTCTGATCGGCAAGTCCTAGGCTCTGTGGTTTAACCCACAGCGCCACCCGCGTCCCTTTCTAGAAAAATAGCACTGTTTAAATGTATGGAGTGAGTATTAGAGGCAGGTTATGTGGCATACACATCTCCAAGAGAGGAAAACAACTGGGGGATTCAGAAAGAACAGCTGGGTAGACCACCACTGCTGTCCTCTTCCCTCCCAGAGCCCACTAGCTGAGGCAGATGCCCCACTCTGCCAAACTGGCCCTGAGAAAACAGTGACCGTGTAGAATTAAGAAAGGCTATATCTGGATAACTTTGAGGTATTAGTCATTGCATCTAGTAGGTCCTGACCTAGTGACTGTGGCTGTAATCTTCAGATATACGTGCCAATGGAACAGTACACAGTCTCTCTTGCATAAGCTGTTCTGTAACTGCTGTCATGGTGGGCCTGCAGCAAAAGTGAAAGCAAATTAATTGTAATTCAAATGACCATACAAGAAGTAAAAACAGTTGTGTGTGTTGTTGTTTTTTAAACAAGCCCATAGCTCAGGTGAAACAAATATAATGCAGGAACAGGTTAAAAGACTCAAGGTGGTGGTGGGGAGATATTTCCCTGGAGTTGAAATGACATCAAGCTAGGCTCCAGATACGTTTCTCTGAAGTTGGCATTTTGTAGCCACCATTCAAAGGGCTGCCTCCCGAGTTGCCATTTCTCACACTTTACCTGGCAGGGGCACTCTTGGAATTCCCTCTTGCTTGCTTTGAAAAGAAGGTGTCTGGTTTTGTCCCAGATTTTGTATCTGCACCAGTCCTAAATATGGTTAATGCTAACCATCTTAACTAGGCATAGGCAGACTCGGCCCTCCAGCTGTTTTGGGACTACAACTCCCATCATCCCTAGCTAACAAGACCAGTGGTCAGGGATGATGGGAATTGTAGTTCCAAAACAGCTGGAGGGCCGAGTTTGCCTATGCCTGATCTTAACCATGGTTTGCACGCCTTGATGACCGTTAACAATGGTTAGTTTTGATGCAGATGTAATGTGAGAATCCAGGGGTAGCCAACACATGGTATCCTTCAAATGCTCACAGAATCGCAGGCGGTAGAGTTGGAAGGGACAACAAGAGTCATCTAGTCCACCCCTCTGCAATGCAGGAATCTTTCACCCTATGTGGGGCTTAAACCCACAACCCTGAGATTAAGAGTCTTGTGATCTACAGTTCCTGTCAGCCCCAGGATGTAAAACCAGGGATTGTGGATGCTGCAATTCACACCATCTGCAGGGTATCACATTTGTTATCTTTGTGCAAGACTAGGAGATTGTGCACTATTTATCATGGTGGCAGCGTATTGTACGGTATGGAATGAGTCACATCCATGTTATTCAGAATGCCATTTCATGGACACAATATGGATATACTCTTCGAATTTCTGGAAACTGATTGTCATATAAGTGACTCATGGCACTTATAAGAGATGGATTTGATTACAAAGAACACTGATTCTTTCTATATGCCCAAGTGAACTTTGGACTTGTGTTTTCAAAGAGCAATCCCCCATGTTGCATTGAAAACTTTGATTGACACTAATGAAGTTTTCAAAAGCAATTTTAGTTATGGCCTAGGAGCCTGCTGTTCCAAAAGAAGAGAAAATCAGAAATTATGCTTGGCACATTCAAACACATCTCTTGGATCCTGGCCATTGCGTATTATCAGAACTGTAGCAGAATTTTATTTAACTAGTTTAATACTTACAGCATAATAACCTGCAAGATTCCTTTAGAAATGGAAAGCATTGTAAAACTATAGTATTGCATAAACCCCAGTTTCCTACTGAAATCAGTGTAAAAATATTTTTATGCCATTATTTAACTTCTGAATAACTTTTTTCCTGTATTTATAGTTCAGCTGCATGTGTAATGAAGTTTGAAGTAATATAAGATGTTAAATATTTTCATGATGAGTGCAGTGTTTATTGCTTATTAGATTAATGTCAGCTAGAGTTGGGCTGTAATCCATGAATAAAATCTACAACTTCCAGAAAAATATATATCTACTTTGTTTCTTAGGGACCGAAGCTGAACTGTTTCACAAGATCTATATAAATTTTGAAGGAGCTAATGCAGTCATTTATTTTTTGACAATTAAAAAAGGGCATGTCTTTAATCAAGCAAAACTGTAAATTGAAGCCTGGCAATTTTTGTTTGGAACTTGTCTGGAGTTTTGTTTCTTAGCCACAAGTAATTATAATTTTCATGGGTTGAAGTCTGGACATACACTTTTTTTCTTATAGAATACTTTAAACACATCAACATAATTTTGCCTTGAATTAAATTATGTAGTCTAAAATACCATGTCTGCAATGAAAAAGCATGTGCTACAATTCCCTTCCTGAATTCAAATGGTGTCAAATATGCTTGCATTTGGTTGGACTGTTTCCAGTGACCAGGATCTAAAGAGCTCCTTTAGCAGCACCCAAGACCTGGTATACCCAGTGGGCTTTTTCTTCTTCTTTCTAACCTTGGCATTCATAGACTCCAGTGCTGTATCACAACCTACTTTTGAAGTTCCAGGTGAGGTTTGCTGCTGGTCAGACTTCCATTCAAGAAAAAGAAATCCAAATCTCCTTTGGGCACATGCAACTAGTCATACAGTTCTCTGGATCTAGTCCAATATTTTTAGGATTAGGCTGCCAGTAAACTGTTTTGATTCATTCCTAGAAAGCACAATAGGGGGAAAATGTTTTCCTATGGTGTGCAATGAACCTCATAATTTCTTGGGCAAATGAAAATGATTCATGGTGCTGCTGCATCTGCACTGTGCGTCTTATCTGGCTGTTTACCATTTTCTCATTGACTTGCCTTTGTTCTAATGGAGTAGATGCCTGAAAAAAACTGATAAGTGGAGGTCAGGCTTCATGCCTTTTTAACACGCCCAGGCTGTGCCGAAAATTAAATGAGTCATCACCGAAATATCAATAGCTGTAGCAATGCGAGTTGGAAAATGATATATGCTGTTGTTGCGGTAAGTTGGCAGGTGTTGCAGGCAAATGGGTGGTACAGATATTAGGACCAGGATCTTTCTATTTATCTAGTTCATTTAAAGGATTTTCATCGTGCTCTTCAGCTGCAAAAGGCTCCCAGGGCAACTTACAACAACTAATACTAAAGACAGTCTAATGCTTACAGTCTAAAAGACACGACACAAAGGGAAAAGGGACTGTGAGGGGCTTCACCAGGGTGAAGGCTCCAGGTGTAACCAGGTGGGTGGGGAGATACCACGGGCCATAATCAGTTCAGGTAACTAATCAAAGCTGCAAGGTGCTTTGGGGATGAGGATAGGGCGCTGGTCTCTTTGGATCTGCTTTATCCAAACCTTAACAGGCCTGATCCTTGGACTCCTTGGCTTGCTAGCCCGGCACTAGCATACCCAAAGCTAGCAGAACAACTGCTATCCCCCCATCATCTGCTCTGGCTGGTGTGAGCAAAGCTTAATATTTGGCAGTGGGTCAGCCTCTCCGCTCCTCCCTAGCCCCGCTTAGGGCTGTTCGGTTACTCAGTTTAAAAATGCCACTGGGAACAGATAATTGACGCTGGAAGTGCTAATGAGGAAGGGGGATTGGTTTTGTACTGATGGGTGGTTAAGTGTAGCAACCAGTGAAGGCAACCAGTGCTGTTCTCTTTGCTGTAAAGTTACAAAACCGCTCCCAGCAGCTATAACAGTATACTGCATTGAATCTTTTTCTTTCTTTCTAAAGGCATAAGCATAAAATTTCCCACCTACTGCATGACTAATGAAGCTGTAGGCTTATACAAAGAAGTGTGTTCACAGCTAATAAAGCTGAAGACCTTTATTCAGAGCACCCCAGTATTGGACGTTTCATTTTCAATGTTTTCCAACTGAAAAAGAGGAATAAAAACAAACATTTTTTTTATGTCAACTGATATTTCATACAATTCATATTTTTATGTCTGTGATATGAAGATGCACACACACTTGGGAGATCTAAGCCCCTGATGCCCTGTTTTCCTCTAACCCTTTTTATGCTACTGTGAACCAGTTAGCTACCAGCATTCAAACTGTAAAGAGCATTGACATAATTTGTAATAAAAGCAAAGCTGAAGCATAGGGAAGGTGAAAGAGAATTGCCAGAATCTGTAGCTATTCTGATCTCGTGGGCAGTTTCTTCCAAATGTGATCTTGCACAGTTAAAGCAAACCAACTGAAGGTTCCCTTATTGGCTTGTTTTTTTCCTTTGCTTTTAAGTGTTGTTTCAGTTCAAGTTAAGGTTGTGCATCCCTATCCTAAGCATTGGTGCCACTAAGGCTGCAATCCTGTACCACTTACCTGAGAGTAAGCTCTATTGGATTCAGCAGGACTTTCTTTTGACATGCATAGGATTGTGTTGTAAATCTACTTGCAACGCTGTAACATTCTTTGTAGCATTGTTGTGCGATCACAGCCCTGTAAAGTTGGCCCTTACTGTTATCCCCACATTCTAGGTTCCTGGCTAAGAGACGGTGACTTCTTTAAGACCTCCTGTTGTGTTTTATGACTGAGTTGACATTTGAACCAGCCATCTTTGGATTGCTGCTCATTCTCTTAGCCACTGTGCAACACCATCTCTGTATCTAAATCAACTCTGGCAGCTTTGAGACCAGTGGCTTAAGAATGTTTTTCACTATTTTAGATTTTTAAAAAATAATAATTATGTGTTTGGAATCCATTGGGAGGAAGGGCAGGGTACAAATTCAATAAATAATTTTTCTCCACCCCCATCATTCAGCCCGGACACTGAGGTCCAGCGTCAAAGGCCTTCTGGTGGTTCCCTCACTGCAAGAAGTGAGGTTACAGGGAACCAGGCAGAGGGCCTTCTCGGTAGTGGCGCCCTCTCTGTGGAACGCCCTCCCATCAGATGTCAAGGGAATAAACAACTATCCGACTTTTAGAAGACATCTGAAGGCAGCCCTGTTTAGGGAAGTTTTTAATGTTTGAAGTTTTATTCTGTTTTTAATATTCTGTTGAAAGCTGCCCAGAGTGGCTGAGGAAACCCAGCCAGACAGGCAGGGTAGAAATAAATTATTATTATTATTATTATTATTATTTTATTATTATTATTATTATTATTTTATTATTATTATTATTATTATTATTATTATTATTATTATTCCTACTATTATTGCAGCTTTAAACTTGGAAACTAAGACAATGTTGATTTAACCTTCTAGAAACAATAGTCCATGATGCTTTAAGGCAGACTGGATTTCTCCTGGTATTACCCCTTTTCTGCCCCTTAAAAACAACAGCCACACGCTCATTATTTTGTGAAGGAGTAAAAGTAGAATTTACTTACATAAAATGTAAAGCAGCAGTTACAGTAGCAAAATGAAGGCAGGTTTATAACTAATATCTAAGTTAGAAAAGTACAGAATCTAAGTTCAAAATGGTGCCTGAGATGCAGAGCTCAGACCTGCATGTGTGGTCAGTTTCAATGCATGGTGAAGAAAAAGAGAGATGCCCAGGCCCAGCTGTAGTGTTAAAGCTTCCTGTCAACACAAACAAAGGAAGTGATCTCAGAGTTCTCTCGAGCAAATTTTATAGGAAAGCTGTGAGTACCTCGGCCCTTTCATGTGCCTATCTAGCAAAACATGAATGGTTGATTTGACTGCAATAATGTCCCACATAAATAAGAAATAGTGAATGTTAGGGTTTTCCCCTGTTGTAATTGTTGGGGGCCTTATGCCTGTGATGGCCACCCACTACTCTTTATCTTCTTCTCCCTCTTACTCTCCATCCAGACAATTGACTGAGGTCTGAACTGATAACTTGCAGATACTTTTTGTCCTCCTTTCATCACTTTATTTGTTTTCAGCCGAGGGCCTTACGCTGTTGCCCTCAGCACTTGAAGCTTGTTTATTATAATTCTACAAGATTAATTAGTGTCTAAGTAATCTTGTGGAAGAATAATAAACAGGCCTATGATGCTAGGAGCAACAGTTGATTAATTCCCATTCTTTCTTCCAGAACACACACACACACACACACACACACACACACGAACACGTGTTCTTCAACAAATGGTTTTTTATGTTAGGCTAAGACCTCCCCCATCCCATGTGCATTGCATAGTGAAAGCAAGTCCTTTCATAGAGATCCCTTTATTCTTCCAGAAGTGCACATGCTTTGAGGCAGTGATGGGGAATTTGCTTCTATTTCAGGGCCATATTCCCTTCTGGCCAACTTTATGGGGTCCACATGGCATTAGTGGGTAAGTCCAGTGGACAGAACGAACAATGAATGTAAATTGAGCAAGAGATTTTGTCGGAGTTCAATGACACGTTCCAACTAGGCAAAAAAACCAACCAAACAAAAAACAGGTGTGTAAGCAGAGCCAGTGGGGGGAGTGACCTGGGGAAGAATTGCATTGGAAGAATTCCAAATAAAGGGCTATGGAGGGGGCAAATTTGGGCCTCAGGCCTGAGGTTCTTCAACTCTGATGCAATACGATCCCATGGGTGAGTGCCCACCAACATATTTGTTTCTGATTTCTACCAACTGGAGTTTCCAAAGGATCTTCAGAAGCTGGTCCCATGCACAGTGCATTACAGTAAGAGTTTGAGGAAACAATATGTAATGTGCAGGGTTAGAGCTTGTATGGCCCATATGAAAGAAGGAAAGGGGATCCCAAACAAACAAGCTTTCAACAATCCAAGCAGAAGTGCAGGTGTAAAGGCAGCTTGTCTTATCGCTGGTTAAGGAAGGAAATGGTCCCTAGATGCACCCATTGCACTGTGCTTCCCATTCCAAACATTGGGAACCCCAAATCTACTAGGGTCTCTAGTCTGTGGTTGCTTGAAGCGACGAGCAGTGGTACATATCCCTATCTCACCTTTTCTGCCTTCAGTCTGTTCTGTCTATTCTTTTCAGTGGCATTTTCTCTTACAATAGATACACTAAAAGTTACAGCCAGTATCTGAAGTATATTATTGTTCCAGTTATAAATGTTATGTATAATGAGTGGATCTGAGAAGAGAGATCGTATCTGAGAGAAAACATTTTTCTTACAATAGCAGAATTAAAAAGATACAGAATATGTTTTCATTATTATGCAGGGGCACGTATACAGATTACAATGGAAGACTTTTTGCTGCTTTATATTTTAAATCAGACATTCTTTCGAATTACAATAAAGCATTTAGAATTCTGAAAACAAGGTCCTTGAGATTTTTTGTAGAAAGCTCTTGAATTAAGTATTCACTTGTATGACTCAAAGTAATATCAAGTCTGAAAGATAATTCGATTTAGCTTTGTCACCCAAAAGGCACTCCCAACTGGAAAAGGAAGGAGCTTTTGTGTGTCTAGAATTTTAACTAGCCCATTTTAAGCATTTTTAAAATAATTAGCATGGGTGCGGTTTTTTTAGAGAGAAAGACCAAAAATGTGAAACATGAATTGAAATATTCACTGCAGTGTTTAAAACATGATATTAAATACAGTATGGGCTTTTTAAACCAAGGAAAATATACTAGTGGTTGGATCACAACTTAATCATACTCAAGCGTATATTCATTGAAATAGGTGAGTAAAATCCCATTGCTTTCAGTGGGTTTGACTTCAACCCAAAGCCCTTATTGAGTCTTCCTTTCCTGTAACTCTAGTGGATCACCTTTCTTAAACACGAGGAGCTCTTTTCAGATGATAAGATAAATGTGTGGCTGTCAGGTGGTATTAGGATTGTGCATTCTCTTCATGCAAAACATCTGAAAGGAGCTTTATGTTTGTTGAGTTGACTCCTGGTAATCTTTTGCAGGTGTGTAAGAGTTTTAAATATTTTTTCACCTCTCTCCATTCCTACTAGAAATCTGTCAAAAGTATTTGATTTGTTGTCTTTCTTTCTTCCTTCCTTCCTTCCTTCCTTCCTTCCTTTCTTCCTTTCTTCCTTTCTTCCTTTCTTCGTTTCTTCCTTCCTGCTTCATGTTGGAATCTCTTAGTCATATAATGTTCTTCCAATGTTCTAAGACCTTTTCTCCTTTGCAGTTAATTTGCCAGATTTATCATTTAAGCTTCCAATGGTTCTATTGTTCACTACATCATTGACCCAAGCATTGGCCTTGTTTGGACACATTGCTGGCTATAAGCCATAGTTAGACAAAGTAGTACATGTAGCTTGAGTACTCCCTGCTGTGCTGCTTCCTTCCTTGAGCAGGAAAACAAATTATATAGTGGCTGGTTTACGGTTATGTCCTAACACACACCTGTGGTCCTTCTTCCCACCGAACGAACTTTGATTGAGAAGCCAAATTTAAGGTAATACAAAGTCAGCTGCTCAGTGGTTTGTTTTCTTGCCCGAGGAGGGGAGAAACAAAGTGAGAAGGGATTGAGAGGGGTGCAGAACCAGGCAGCATGGTTACAGACTAATTTGGCTAATAACATGCTTTATGGTCAGTGATATGTGTAAATCATTTATGTCTAAACATGTATATGGTCAGTGATGACTAAAAGTGATGACTGGTTTACACACAGCACCATCATTTTAACAGACAAGAGCGTCTGTCCTATTCCTTTTTCTTTCTCTGAGCTTACAATAGCTTCTTGATCAGCTATTGATGTGAATGTTGATGCTGATTTGTTGAAATGAAATCTCTTTTATTAAATTGCTGAAGCAGGCTGTCACTGAACTCTGCACGCTGACATTAAAGCTCTGGAATGTAATATAATTAGCAATCCCAGTAGTAGCTTTAATAGCATTAAGTGTTAAGACAACAATAAATTACATGGGACATCTATTTAAAAATAAGCTGGTTTTCAGAAAAATAATTCACCGTAACCTGAAATGAAGCCTCCATGATTTTATTGAAAGTTCCATTGTGAACTTTTCCTCCTTTGACATGTTAATTAACCAGAGAACATCCTCAAATTTTAACTGTAGACGATTGGCAGAATGAGCTGCACTGACTGTAGATCTTTCTTTCCCCTTTTTTATGGCTTGCTGTAATCAGAGGAGAAGAGGTTTGGGGCACCAGTGAGAGTTGGGTCTACAGCTTCCCAGGGGTGCTATCTTTGTGCTACTAGCTTTGTACAGTCAGTACAATATGTCTCCTTGTTGTGTACATGCCTGGCATAGGAGAACATTCTGTCAGCATAGTTATGTTCAGTGCGCACCTGCCTTCCCATTGTGGAGGTTGCTGGTGGTAGCAGAGGGGGAGAAGGCGGCAGAGAGGTAGCCACAGTGTGATGATAATAGAATCCTAGGGTTTGAAAGGATCCTGAGGATCATCTAGTCCAATCCTATGTAATGCAGGAATATGCAGTTGTCCCGTACGGGGATTGAACCTGCAACCTTGACATTATCAGCACCATGCTCTAACCAACCGAGCTATCCAGGTGTGTTGGATTGACTCCACCACTGTATCTGTCCCACACTGACCTCCCTACCCCTCTCCCCCTTGGTTGCTGGCAGTGACCTCTACATTAGAAAGGCAGGTGAGCAGTGCCTCCCCATCATACTCTGCCCAGACGACTGCTTTGAGTTAGTAATAGTGCCAACTTTAAATAAATACAGACAGAGACCAGCAATAAAGCATTGCAGTGAATCGCCAGGTCCATTTCTATTAAGGACTCCAGCCAGCCCAGGAATTTTGTAGCGGGGAAAGAGTTAAGTTTATTCTTGCTGCACCTCCTGAAACCTCCCCAGTGTTGCATCTAAAGAGCTTAGGTTTGAGGCTAGCTGCTACTCTTGAAACCGGTTAGGGAGTTTTCTGGAGAGGGAGAAAGGGGAGAGAGAGAGAGTATCCTTTTTAATTTCCTTCCTCTTGAAAGAAGTGCAGGGCAGGAAAAAGTGTTGTTCATAAACTCATGTTGCATATCGCTCTCCAGATTGTGGCTACAGCTGCAAGCAGTCTGGCTTGTTCTCTTTCCACCAACCCACAATATGCACTCATCATTCCACAGGTCCTTGAGGCAAGTGAGCTTGTCGGGTCATTTGAAAAAATTATAGCAATTTGCAGGCTAATGTCCTTTTGTGTACCTGGGTCCCTCGAGTGCGCAGAAACCATGACCTTATGATTAGGTGGCCCTGTTTCACCAGCAAAATGATAGGCAAGGGACCACACAAGTTCATTGTTAGAAGGATGATAATTCTTACCTTGCTGACATTTTTGTGGCTTATTTACGGTGCTAGTTAATATAGTTTGTATGTGCAGTTTTCTATTGTAACCTTTCAAGTTCTATGTTTTGTATGCTACCTTGGGCAATGTTCTATTTGAAAAGTGAAGGATAAATCCAGAAAGTAATAAGATGCCTACATCCACTTTTGGGAGACAACTAGACCACTGGTGAGTTTCAGCAAAAGGACTACCATCATGCAAATATATGCTGAAAGATTAATATATAGGTCCCTAAATGCATGTTAAGGGACGCAGGTGGCGCTGTGGGTTAAACCACATAGCCTAGGACTTGTCGATCAGAAGGCTGACGGTTCAAATCCCTGTGATGGGGTGAGCTCCCATTGCTCGGTCCCTGCTCCTGCCAACCTAGCAGTTTGAAAGCACGTCAAAGTGCAAGTAGATAAATAGGTACCACTCTGGCAGGAAGGTAAACGGCATTTCCCTGCGCTGCTCTGGTTTGCCAGAAGCAGTTTAGTCATGCTGGCCACATGACCTGGAAGCTGCGCCGGCTCCCTCGGCCAATAAAGTGAGATGAGCGCCGCAACCCCCAAGTCGGCCACGACTGGACCTAATGGTCAGGGGTCCCTTTACCTTTACCTAAATGCATGTTTGGGTTAAAAGTGGGTCTTGGGTTTGAAAAGGTTGAGGATACCTGACCTAGACTACTGAACACTAGTATTATGTGCTAGTATGCATGGGACTGTAGCCATAGCCGTGGAGTCCCTACGACGGTTACCAGATGCTCTTCAGTAAACTAACTTTCTTTGTTTTGATGACAGAGCTCTTGTGCTTTTGTAACAGCAGCATGGTTGACAGAAATCCAGCTGGTGAAACTTCCTTAAAAATGCACCTCTATGGGACAGAAAGCACCACAAATGGGATTTCTGCCTATTATGTGACTTTTGCAGAGGCTCAAGAGTCCTCCCAAAGACTTCACTCGTACTCTGTCCCTTGTCTCCAGCCCTGCAATGGATGACATGCAACATCATGCTTTAGAAGGGGGGAATCTTTTGACCATTATTGTTCACCAGAATCCCTTTCCTCTGGAACTATTACAGTTCATTTGTTCGTTTACTGCAATTTTTTTTACATCTCAAAATAATTAACAACTTGGCATATGAGGGGAAAATATGATTTAGGAAGCAAAGGTGCCAGCTGAGCTGAGAGAGTGCTTTATTCTGCTTGCCAACTAATTAATGCCAGGTTTAGATGCTGAATCCAGAAAATAAAAGTCTCCAAGGGAACTCCTTCAGTAATTATTGACTTTGGTGCAGTAGGATCCTTGTTTTAATAAAACAATTGGGGGAAAGACTAGGATAAAAGAGGATGAAAGCTTCTATTGAGACACATCCGTATTACACCTTGAGGGTGAAAAGCTCTAAAAAAGTTTATTATAAAGGGAAGTATTAGGTGGCATGCTTGGCATAAGAATTCCACTGGAACAGCCCTGGAAAAGCAGCACAGAGGTTTGAAGAAGGTTCCTATCACAACATGTACCATTCTAATTCTTAACCATCCTTGTCTGGTTTGTATGTTATGTAAGCTTTTACTTCTGCTCTGCAAGTTATTGAGCAGTATGTCATGGATATTTTCCGGCTCACATTTTTCTATGTAAAAAAACTTCCTATCCTTGTTGAAAGTGTGTTCCCTCCTAACACATTGCAGATTTAACTTGCATTCTTAAACTTTTTTGAATCTTAATGGTTGTATCCGAAGTAGCACTGCCTGAATGTTCTCTTAGTGCAAAGATTACCATGTGTGCAATAAATTTTTAATATATGTTTAAAATGCATATTTGAAGTTATGGATATAAGAAGCATCGGTTTCCATTCCAACTTGTTTGCTGCATGTACCATTGTTTCTGTTCCGCTGCACTTCACTTTCTGAAAAGCTATGTCATTCATCTCGCTGGCCGCTGTGGTGGAATTTTACATAATTATAGGGAACCCAATGCAAATGGGGGGAAATGTCATGTATTGCTTGCAGACTGACAACAATGAATGCCAATCATAGTTGCTGGATTGATTTCTCTTCTAGACATGGGATGAGTCAGAGAACATAGGCAGTTTCTGTTTCTGTCTGAATTCTTCAACATCCATAATTTGAAGCCCCAAATAAGTTGTTACGTCATTTGATGAGTATATAGTAGGGTCCAGTCTTACTGTTGTCCAGAGATCCTAGTTCCTTCTCATGCAGTGCGAAACCTGCTTGACAGTCATATATTAGGGTCAAAATTCCAGCCCTGATCTTCAGCTGTGTTGACTTCTGAAAAGTGTAACTAAAAAGTGTACCTAATAAAGCATAAAACTTTGGATTGCAACTAACTGCATAAAGTTTCCCATGTCTAAAGCTGTTGGTGGTTGTGGAAGACAAAAATGATTTGCCATACTCGTGGAATGTTTAGGAATATTTTAGCATATATCATCAAAAGCAGCACATGCACATTTCTGCATCTCCTAATCGTGGCTTTTACTTTTCTTTTAACAGTGTTTTCATATACCATCAGTGCCAGAAGCTTCAGAAAATTGGCACCATCTAGAAGTTAGCGCAGATTGATTTTCTTCTTCCTGGATATCTGATAATTTGAGAAACTAAACTGTAAAAACTGCTGGGGGGGATTTTGATTACCTCCACTTGAAGCAGACAACAAGACTGGTATGTAAACTGCACTTTGCCATCATTATGATGAACACGGAGAAATGGGCTAACCTCAGTCCTTCAGAATTCTCTCAGCTTCAGAAGTATGCAGAATGTAAGTACTCAATTTTTTTAAACTTTTATATTTCTTTGTATTTGTATCAAATTTTCAGCTATATGAAAATGTAAGACATAAAAGTGTCCAAATGCAATTTGCTGACGTAACAATTTTTTTGTAAGTAAACGTATATATATATATATAGAGAGAGAGAGAAATTATTCAGTTGTGTGTGTGTCTGTGTCTGTCTGTTTGTACTTGGTTTTTGAGCAGCTTAGTTCTTGAATGTTTTGGCTCCTGAATGCCGCAAACCTGGAAGTGACTGTTCCGGTTTACGAACTATTTTTGGAAGCCGAACGTCCAACGGGGCTTCCGCGGCTTCCTGCAGGAACTTCCTGCAGCCAATCAGAAGCCACGCTTGGGTTTCTGAACATTTTGGAAGTTGAACAGAGTTCTGGAACTGATTCCGTTCAACTTCCAAGGTACAACTGGGTGTGTGTGTATATATATTCTGCCTTGACAATTGAGAACTCTTCCAAAACTTGGTATCAATTATTGAAAGGCCTCTGAAAACTGATGATAGAGGCCCAGATCTGTTTTCCATGCCTACATTTTGGTTAGGTTGTTGTTTCGCTGCAAGTGGCCCTGATCCTGTGATGATTGGCCTTCCTTGAGCTCAAGAGGCTATGTGCTCAGTCTGAAAATGATATATAGAGTAGCTCATGCATTCATACCTTTGTGCTTTTCCAAGGCGAGATAAAAAGAAATCTTAAATTTTCTATGATCTCTCTGCTGCCTCTTTAAAGTTTTCAATAAAACCACCAGCTACCATACTAAAGGCCAGGATATTTTGTACTCTGGCAAGTAAGTATGGCCAGAGGCTAGATGACTGTGTATCCAGAGGCTTTGCAGCTTAATCTGAAGCAGAAGGAAAGAAAAACTGGAGTAGATTTTCTTTGCTGAGAGAGAGAGACTGCTGAAAATAGAGTGCTCTGGTTAGAAACCTGTGGCTAGAGGTCATATCAGTGTGTGTGTGTGTGTGTGTGTGTGTGAGAGAGAGAGAGAGAGAGAGAGAGAGAGAGAGAGAGAGAGAGAGAATGGGAATAGAATGGCAGTCTTGGGGGGGAAATAAAGAAGATTGTTCTTTGTGACAATTCAGTGCTACGGCATTGGGTACTGTAGCTGCCTAGAAACCTAATGGGAGAACAGGATCTGCTGGGGTTTTAATGTTGCAAATTTCTATCTTATGTTCAGCTTTCATGCATATGTAAATAAAACCTTACATCATAGAAATGCCATAAACCTGTCCTCTTCATTTCAAGGAAACCAATTTTGGGGCACAACCTGGAATCCCAGAATCGTCTTGATAGCTTTCTTTTTCTTTTTCTTTTTAAAAGTGTTCCGTTTCTAAAATTTGGTTTGACTAGGATAAAGTTGGCTCTTTGACATTTTGTTCAGAACACTGGGCAAAATTTGATCCAGCCTTGAAATTCAATTCAAGCCCAGCTAATGTAAATTGAAAAGAAACTGCTATTAAGGTGACTGAATGACGTATTCTAGGTACAGTATATGCAAAACCTTTTAGCTCTTTCTCACTGGAAACTTTTGAAGCTATTTTTCTCCCTCTCACCTAACAAATTTGACATTACACTTCATTCTGATCTAACCATTGTGGTTGCAGCATATTAATGACCCTCGGAAACAAGGAAAGATATATGAAGCCAGCGCTATTTGTTTATTGCAAGCAGCCTGTTAATTCTTTTTGTATAATATAAGACATTTCTGAGATGCAACTGATATAAATCAGCCCACATCCTCTCACTTTGGGTTAGCACTTTTTATACCTTGCATCTATCCAGTTTGCTGTGTAGACATTTTCGCAAGGCATACACATAAATGAAAGTACATAATAAAAACTCTGCTTTCAGAAAATGCAATAGACAGACTAGTTTATAGCAGAGAAAAAAACACTTTCATTTTTTTATGTCTTATATTAGGAAGGTTTGAGGTTCATTTTGCAATTTTTTGCTAACCTCTCCATCCCCACTCTTGTTAATTAAGTGAGGGGGTTGCTTGTAAATACAGCCATTAACTGGAAGAATTCTTATTTCTCCATTTCCTTCGGTATTTTAGAGTTCCACTTGGTGTGGGTGGGATTAGAATTCAGATTCTTAATTCAATAAATTGAAGCCATAGCAGTGGCAACTTTTTGCTCTTAAAGAGAACTTGTTGCCTATTGTGCGCTGGGGTGGGGGCATATTTTGATGGACACTTGTTTTTTCTGTACATCTAGAAAGTACCAGCACATACATCACAGCACAATCCCAACTGTGTCTACTCAGAAGTAAGTCCTCTTGAATTCAATGAGACTTACTCCCAGATAAATGGCACGGTGGGGGCGGGGAAAGTTAGGATTGCAGCATAAATCACTTTGAAAATTATATTGGAAAATTAGATTGCAAACCTGTCCAAAAAATAAAAACAAATGTTATGCCCTCACAAAACCCCATAGGTTTGGAAACAGGATATAGATTATATAAGAAGGGAGTAAATTAAAAGCTACTTACTTGATTTTTGTTCTCATTTTATGGATACAGTGGTACCGCAAGTTACAGACACTTCAGGTTACAGACTCCACTAACCCAGAAATAGTATCTCGGGTTAAGAACTTTGCTTCAGGATGAGAACAGAAATCGCATGGCAGTAGCGGGAGGCCCCATTAGCTAAAGTGGTACCTCAGGTTAAGAACAGTGTCGGGTTAAGAACGGACCTCCTAACCCGAGGTGCCACTGTAATTGATACTTAAATTGTCACAATCCCTGATTTTCTGAAACTTGTACTGCCACTCAGTAAATTTGGGATGTTTACATCAACAGAATGCAAAGCAATTTGCAATATTAGGTGCCTTCTGGTATTGGCGGCTATGTCCCCCAAAAGTGAAGTCCTCTGAAGCAGCATCCTATGAAGTGCAAGGAAGGTAAAATCAGGCATTGTGTGTACACAATTGTACATTTGCATCCTTCTGGACATACACTGCATTTGAAAACTAGATAGCATAATTTATTTAAATTCCAATGCATCATGCAGACTTATAGTGTCCATGTTTTACAAACCAGTTCTAGATTTGTAAGGTACCATTGATAGGGAGTGTTTATTTAGGTTAGGAGACTTCATGGTTCTGTATACTGAATCAAGAATGGAGTTCATTTTTAGTTTAAACAAGCCTTCCCCAACCTGGTGGCCTTCGTGTATTTTGGACTATAACAACAGCCGTGCTGGTTGAGGCTAATGGGAGTTGTAATCTATAACATCTGGAGGATAGCGGGCTGGAGAAGGCTGACCCTGATCAATTTCTTTCACACATGTAAGACACACAAAAACCCCTACCTGGCACTTTGACATGCATGCTGTGCACAACTTTCCCCTAACACAGCAAGTAGCAGCACTCTGCATGTTCAACTTTCATTGAGAAAATGGAACAGAGAGAAAATGTTCATCCCCCTTTTCTCCTCCAGCACCACAGTCTCTGTCTGAACTGCTTTTGCTATGGCTGCCATTTGCATCAGCCACTGGCCTTTGAGTATAAAATGCAAACACGTCTAAACAACTAAGCATTGAAACTAATAATTAAAACACCAGCTGTTGCAATTTGTGTACAAGTATAAACACTAGAACACCATGAAGCAGATAACTGAGAAATATTGTAAGTCACGAAAATATCTGTCTTCTAGTACAGTATTACGATTCTAGGGCATTGTCACCAAATATTTACAAAATCTGTTCCAAACAATTCTTCTGAAGACTTCTTTGATCCACCTTACATTTTCATGTAGCTCATGAATTTTATGTTCCAGTTTACATTTTCCACCACCTATTAGTAATTATATATTGCTCTTCTTTTTAGATTATAAACTCATTGACCTCTTGTTCTTCTAAGCTTGCTATTCCTCATTTGTGGTTCTGAAATCTTAAAAGTTTCCTATAGGGTCATAACGTTAGGCTCCTTGTGATCCTCATGCCTCCTGTCCTTGCTTTTCTAGCAGACATCTCTGATGAAGGATGGGACTAAAAACTGCTATTTTTTTCTGGCTGTTCTTGGAAAAACCTATTTTTTTCTCTAGGAATTAAAAGGATTTTGCTTCAATATTGTCTGGGAATCCTTGGATATCATTCTGTTGGTACTCACTTTATATTGTGCATAGTATTGTAGTAGTATGATTTAGGCAGCAATAAGTAACCTTTAAATAACTGCTGGGAGAAGCATTAATGTTTATAATTCAGCCTATGCATGTGTTGTTATTCATTAATGTTTATCTAATCTTCTGCCATTCTGTTGGTTTTCCTTCTGTTCATTTGGAGGATTGAAATTTTGACTATTTGTTGAAAACAGGCTTTGGTTTTGGGGTGGATGACTGATTTAAATATACTGTACTTTGTATTCCTTGTTTTGTACAAGATGAATAAATTGATGTCATCCCTCATTGCAGATTCTACAAAGAAAATTAAGGATGTTTTGGAAGAATTCCATGGTAATGGTGTGCTAGCAAAGTACAATCCTGAAGGGGTAACTTTGTCTGTCTTTTCTAACTTTTAGATATTTGCACTAGTTGATTGAAATTAATGTTTTGCATTCTACTTTTTCTGCTCTCTTTTCAATTTTTAAAGTTGCCTGACACTTTGTGCTCCAGTTGATATAAAGTTGGACTCTGGCAAATCAACAGCTCTGTGCAAAGAGCTGCAGTTGGGGTTTTGGCTGGTGGTCTCCACCCTCCATGCATGGTTTTTGCTTTGTGAACTGAATAAACCTATGTGGATTCTGTGCCCATGATTTTGGCAGGACCATGCAGCGAGCCCACATGCATATAACTTATAGGCAGGTGGTGTCTTGCATCCAGAACCTAAATGTGGCTGTGTGGCAGTTTTGAGCCATATCCTGATTGTGGTCATGGGTGCAATATTTCATTCAATTCCTTACCTGTAAAATGGGAATGAAATCAATGGATGGTTGTAATGATGAGTGTGAGATGCTGCTGAATCCCCTTTAGGACCATAGAGAGAGATTCACCTTTGTCAAGTGAGAGAAATTGGGCAAAGTTGGGTGTAATTACCATATTTTTTGCACCATAACACTCACTTTTTTCCTCCTAGAAAGTAAGGGGAAATGTCTGTGCGTGTTATGGAGGAAATGCCTATGGGTGGCATGCCTACGGATTTTCCTCCTCTAAAAACTACGTGCGTGTTATGGTCGGGTGCGTGTTATAGAGCGAAAAATACGGTAGATCATTAAAGGTAGCCTGTTCACTGGGAACATTCAGTACAAATATAGCAGTTCCTTGCACACCTACATTAAAAATGGTGGAAACAAGCAATCAGAACTTACCCATTTGGGGTCTTGTTTCAGCTGGACCCTTCAATCGTACTCCTGCAACATTAGCGATTTTCCAGACCCACACCAGACATGGTAACTTGTGCCTTCCTGGTGTGCTAATTCATATGCAAATGAAGTGACATTGCTACATGGCCAAAAAAGGGGCTATCCAAAGTTTATACCATTTGTTAGTTTGTGCTAGAGCAATTTCTTTGTGCTTATTACTAACTACATATAAAGAGACTTATTATCACTTACCACATTATTACTTTCTGATCTTCATAGTTGTAAAAAGACTTTCAGCTGAAAATGCTGTTTTTTAAATAAAAGAAATTCATAATTGCTGGACTGTCTTACTATTATTTATATATTTTTCTTTTCTTTCATGCACCCCAGAAGCAAGATATTCTTAAACAAGTAAGCACTGTTGGTGGCTTTTTGTTTATTTATAATATATCTGGCATGTTACTGGTTTTGTGGAGCTTTGCAGAACTCTTGATACTTTTTTCTAGTTGCATGCACCTCTGCAAAAATAATACAGTTACAGAAAATGTAGACTATTGACTTCATGGTAACTTCACTTTCATACTGTTCCACCCCACCCCCACCCCCACCATTGTTTGTTGGGAAAATCATGAATAGACTTTATTGCTGCTGTTTTGTGTGAAAGGTGAAGACACATGTTTTGCTGGACCCTGCAAAGACAGGGTCTCCATTGTGCTGTCGTATACATGAACTTTCCTGTTAAGATTGCATCCTTGTGGTATGTACAGAACAGCTCCAGTATTATATGGAGTAAGTAAGCCTATTCTTAAAATAGCATTCTGTGCACATTGGAATACTCATGGAGATCAGGATTGGACTGTATGTTATTTATTTTCCAAAAGAGATGGATAGAGCATTATGTATATGAACAATCAGATTTTCAGAATTCGCATGAGATGCATTATCTAGTTGCCTAATTATTCTTATAAACTCCAGTCACAGAATAGCGGGAGAAGCCTAATTCATGACACTGGGTGTTATAGATATTGTTGGAACTAGAGACTAGTGATTCATTGTCTTGGTCCATATTTTGTAAAACTGTGGCTTTAAGCTGGTGTGTCTGACTTGCTTTTGTCAAAGTCCTTATCTGTAGAATGAGATGTTCTTCTACCCTATCACCTGTGAACACCCTTGTTCATAATGACTCCTTAACTTAGAAAGGTCTCTTGATAGAGAGATAGAGTGGCTCCTATTTTGTGGTCCCATTTTGAGGAGTAAGGACTCAGTTAAAAAAGGTAAAGGGACCCCTGACCATTAGGTCCAGTAGTGGCCGACTCTGGAGTTGCGACGCTCATCTTGCTTTATTGGCCGAGGGAGCCACTGTACAGCTTCCAGGTCATGTGGCCAGCATGACTAAGCCACTTCTGGCAAACCAGAGCAGTGCACAGAAACGCCATTTGCCTTCCCGCCAGAGCAGTACCTATTTATCTACTTGCACTTTGATGTGCTTTCGAAGTTACACAGCTGCAAATAAAACTTTTCAAATGTGTTGTAAAGTAAAATATACAAATGTGACACTAGATGGCGATAGTGAGCTATGCAAAATTCAATGTATTTTTTGAAACTTTTTCCCCCAAAAAAGCATTTTCGCAGCTTTTTTTATGTGTGTGTGGATTCCACCTAAGAGTGTGGCAAAGAATTGACTAAGTTAGAGCAATAGAAATATATTTCTTTGTACACAGTCTTGCATGTTTTTGAACCTCCTTTGGCTATTTTCACATTGTACACCTCGAGAATGAGGAACTATGTCCTTTGTATTTGTATACCTACTAGTCATCAGCCTCTTGGACGGAGTAGGCGCATGCTTAAAGGAACTTTATAAGGATGCTTCAACAAAATATATTGTGCAGCCTGAAAGTCATTGTGCATGTATCACTCTTATTGACATGCTTAATAATATTCTCTAAATTATGCCAGACATGATTTTTGGTTATGGGTGTCGTAAATGATTTCCGTATGATTCACCACCCCTCTTTTCTCATACTGCTTTCATTTATGATTATGGTGGCTGTGCATTTGTCGGACTATGTAGGGCAAAGGCATATTGCTTGCTTTCCCTTGCAATTAGGGAAAAGAGGTATCTCATTATTTGTAGCTGTTTGCATACAGATATTGCAATTTATTTTTAGTGTGTTTGCCATGACACACAGAGCAGGAGTGTGCGGCTGTGTTTAGAGGACAGTGTGGACTAATAATTCTTACCTCACATGGTTCCCACAAGCTTGGTGACGCAGGGACATAATAAAGTGGATGAATATTCTTGACCACCAGCTGTAAAAATGAATAAGCTTACCTCTCCCATTAAAATTGCTCTCAGGATATTTCTTCCAAGACATCACAGATGCAGAGTCTGCTATTTCATTAGTTTTGTATTCTGGTGTTGTGTACTGCATTTTTTGCCTTCATACAAATAAGAAGTTTCTCCTTACTGGACTGGAAGAACTTGCAGTCTTAATCTAAAAGTATGTAAAACAGATTGCTATTTTCTAATACTGTCGTTTAGAAGACCAAGGATGAAATTTGTGTGATGGAGAAGTGCTGCACCTTTAGCATCAGTACTTAATAAGTTTCCCTCCCTCCTGCTGCTACACACAAAAAAATCAGCATCAACAGTGTTGATCTATAGACAGTTAAGAGTTTGACTATTGCTGGAGGGGTGGGGTGTGTGTGTCCAGAATTACATGCTTGTCATTAGGTTGTGTGAGTCAACAGTGATGCGGGTGGTGCTGTGGTCTAAACCACTGAGCCCCTTGGGCTTGCCAATCAGAAGGTTGGTGGTTCGAATCCACACAACAAGGTAAGCTCCTGTTGCTGTGTCCCAGCTCCTGCCAACCTAGCAGTTTGAAAACACGCCAGTGCAAGTAGATAAATAGGTACTGCTTTGGCGGGAAGGTAAACGGTGTTTCCATGCACTCTGGTTTCTGTCATGGTGTTCCTTTGCACCAGATGCAGTTTAGTCATGCTGGCAACATGACCCAAAAAGCTGTCTGTGGACAAACGCCAGGTCCCTTGGCCTGAAAGCGAGATGATCACCGCAACCCCATACTCGCCTCTGACTGTACTTAACCGTCCGGGTCCTTTACCTTTTACCATTTGCAATAGCAAATAAAGCTAATGCTATCCTAGGCTGCATCAGCCAAAGTATAGTGTCCAGAGCAAGGGAAGTAATGATACCACTCTATTCTGCCTTGCTCAGACCACACGTGGAATACGGTTTCCAGTTCTGGGCACCACAATTTAAGAAGGATATTGACGAGCTGGAACATGTGCAGGGAAAGGCAACCAAGATGATCAAGGGTCTGGAAACCTAGCCTTAGGAGGAACAGTTGAGAGAGCTGGGTATGTTTAGCCTGGAAAAGAGGAGACTGAGAGGAGATGTGCTGATAGTCTTCAAATATCTAAAGGGCTGTCACATGGGAAATGGAGCAAGCTTGTTTTCTCCTGCTCCAGATAGTAGGACTCAACCCAATGAATTCTAGTTACAAGAAAGGAGATTCTGATTAAACATCAGGAAGAACTTTCTTTCAGTAAGAGCTGTTTGACAGTGGAACAGACTCCCTTGGGAGGTTGTGGACTCTCCTTCATTGGAAGTTTTTAAACATATGACCATCTGTCATGGATGCTTTAGTTGTGATTCCTGCATTGCAGGGTGCTGGAGTGAAACAACTATTATCTCTGGTTTAGACATAACACTAAGGCCAGGGATTATGGTTTGTCTTGTCCTCACTAGTATGTGGAGGAAACAGACAGCTCAGATAGGTGTGTTCACTATGAATCATTAAGCCTGGTTTGCTGTGACATACAAACTGGGCTTATAAGTATAAAAGAAATACAGAATTCAATGTCAGTTGAAAAATGGTCATATGTGTGCACATCCCATGTGTGATAGAGGCCTTGTGCCTGCAATGATCTTTATATATTTTTAGAAATTTATGTGCCACCTTTCAAAACAAAACATTACGTTTCATCCTAAAATACTCAGGTATAGATAATTCCCTGTCTTCTTCTACAGACAATTGACTTAGAAGGATTCAAGTTATTTATGAAGACTTTCCTGGAGGCTGACCTCCCAGAAGAATTTTGTGAGCACCTATTTACCTCATTTGGCAGCAAAATCCCTTATAGTAGTCCTATGGTAAAGAATAAGCCCCCGCTCCTTCCAGGAGGTAAGTAAATAAATAGATAAAATGTGGTGCTTGGCTGTCTTTGTTATTGTTATCACTCGACCTATCGTTATAGTTTTGGTTAACGTGCCACCTGATCGAGGATTTAATGAAAAGGCTTTCATACTCCTTAGTGACTCACATCTTTTAGGGATGACTCAGCCTTCAGCTAGTGGGAGAGGGAGAAAAACAGCAGTCACAATTTCAGTTTGGGCAGAGAGGGATAAAGGGTCACGCCAGGAGCTTTGCTGGAGTTAGCCGTACTGAATGTAGTCTTTAATAAATACATGTTTGAAAATGCTGTAGGAGGAAAAGCTATTGTTCGGGCAACAAATTGACAGGGGAATAGTTAATACCCCCAGCTGATTCTCCAATCCAAACCACTCTTCTTGAAGCATTGTTTTCAGTGGAACCAGGACACGTGGTTTGACCCCCGAGATGCTCAGTGGGCCATCCAGCTGGCATTGACAAGTTGGCTTGGCTTGTTAGCATAACTAAATCCAGCGGGGGTTCTGTGTTTAGCAACGTTTAATCAGAACTTGATTAGATCTGACGTTTACTACATCCAGGTAAAAAGGTAAAGGGACCTCTGACCATTAGGTTCAGTCGCAGCCAACTCTGAGGTTGCGGCGCTCATCTCGCTTTATTGGCCGAGGGAGCCGGCGTACAGCTTCCGGGTCATTTGGCCAGCATGACTAAGCTGCTTCTGGCGAACCAGAGCATTATGGGGTGAATCTGGCATCCAGAAATTTAGGCGAATCTGGCCCCACACAAACTCACAACGATATTCATTAAGTATGGAAAGTTACATGGATAGTAGGCCTCTGCATTTTCTATTGAAGCACAAGGATTGGGGGTGCTTCAGTATACAGCTTAGTTCTTATTTAGGTTTTTTTCCCCTTCTAGCACTCAATGCCCATTGAAATTACTGGGACCAGATTGTATTTGTATTACTGCCGTGGCTTGTACAAGGACTTTTCATTGTCTTGTTTTTGTTTGGATAATGTGCTGTTCAGGGGATTGCTGTTAATTAATATGTACTAGCTTTTGTTCCTTGCACTAAGCAAATAAATGGTGTGTTCTAAGAGGGCTTTTTGTGTCCAAATTGCCTTCAAAAACAAAAGTTGCACATTCAAATTATACTATGCTGTTTTAAAAAATAACGGCAGGTAAGTTTACATGAAGGTGCAAATATTCTCAGTTAACCTGAGGAGCAAAAAACCAGTAGCATAGTACTGTTAATTAAAAACATTTGGACACCTAACAAAAGAAGTGAGAAACCTTTTGATTCGTTGAAATTCCTCATTAAACTGGGTGTTAAACAAAAGTTTCTCTGTGTGTGTGTGTGTGTGTGTGTGTGTGTGTGTGTGTGAAACAGAGAGAGAGAGAGAGAAAGAAAGAGAGAGATGCTTATGAGCATGGTGAAAAGCTCTAGTTTGCAGTTTTTATAATGGGGAAACCCAGCCTTCTAACAACTCTCAGCGCCCTTAACAAACCAGTTCCCAGGATTCTTTGGGAGAAGTAATGACTGTTTATCATTGTATCGATGGACTAGGGTCTTTCTGACTCTCCTCTCCATCCATCTACACTTGCACTTAACCCTGCCTTCCAGAACTGTTCCTGTCCCTTCTAAGGAGTTTAACGGCAGGTTGCTTTCAACTGATGCTTTCCACCAGGCTAAGGAGTTAAGGCATCTTTGGTGTTTGGGGCAGCTGCTATTCTCTTCCTCACATTTGTATCTGAAAAACTGGTGGGAATAGCAGAACATAGAATACCGCATTCATTGTACTCCCTTTTTATTATCCTAGCTGAACTTTATCCTCTTGTTCTCCAACCTCCCTCCACTCTTCTGCCACTTTCTCAGTGTCTAACAAGAAAGAAAAGCAGCTACTGAAAAGATTGCTCTGTTGCTGTTTTCCTTCCTTCTAATGGAAATGCTAATCTACCGCTCCCTGGAAGCTCAGTTGGGTAGCAGGGGTGAAGGAGGCTAGACAGGGCCCCTCCAGAGACAGGATCTGCCCAAAGAAGGCAGTGGTTCTCCATTCTAGGTTTTGCCCATCATTGGTACAAAAAATGGTAACAGGTTTCACAGATGCTACAGGGAGAAATAAGTTTTTCTGAGCAGGAAATCAAATGTGGGAAGTCATTTTTAAAAAGTTCTGTTTTATTGGTAAGCATTTTCTTAAAATAAAAAATGTGAATATTATTTCAGGTTTGCGAATTACTAAAAGCATGACACCATCTCGCCCACCGCCCTCCACTTTGCACATACCGGAAGTTATCCAGTTGAAAGATATTGTTTGTTATCTTTCCCTTCTTGAAAGAGGAAGACCTGAAGACAAACTAGAATGTATGTAGTATACGTAAAGTATATCCATGCTGGTTTTGTGTGTGTTTTTTAAACTCAGTTAACCAATGGCAGTTGTATCTAATTGTTGCAAATTTGAGGTGTAAAAGATGTTTATGACAATTTGTTACAATCTCCATTCAAGGCTTATTGACCCATATATGAAGATATCTATAATGTGACTACAGTGGTACCTCAGGTTACACACGCTTCAAGTTACATACGCTTCAGGTTACAGATTCCGCCACCCCAGAAATAGTGCTTAAGGTTAAGAACTTTGCTTCAGGATGAGAACAGAAATCGTGCTCCGGCGGCGCGGCAGCAGCGGGAGGCCCCATTAGCTAAAGTGGTGCTTCAGGTTAAGAACAGTTTCAGGTTAAGAACGGACCTCCGGAATGAATTAAGTACTTAACCCGAGGTACCACTGTATATAAATTGATTTTCTGAAGCTTTGCTTTCAACTTTCTCTCTTAGGTTTTATAAACTCAAGTGTGTACCTATTTATTTGGATCATCATTTGTAAATAGAGAGGTTTTACTCAGAGCACACCCATTGGACCCATTTCAGTGGGTCTACTCTGAGTAAAAGTTAATTGAATTCAATCAATTATGAAAATTCAAATGCCAGAATGTCACAAATTTCCCACTTTATAAAAAAATGTAATGATCAATATTTGATCCTGGCCCATATGATCAACTTCAACATGAAAATGACATGATACATTTTCACAAACCCTGCATCAGCTGATTTTTCAGATTTTGACAATTAACATGCTTAAAAGATGTGGGATTAATAAAACTGATTTCAGCTCATTTTGTAGAAAAGCTCTGAGAGGCAAGGGCCTGACCATTAGCACCTGGGCGATATCTAATGCAGGTCATATTCATAGTAGACCCATTTAAATCAGTTGACTTAAATCCATTGGTGTCCAATGAATCTCCTCTGATTACAACTTTAATCACCCATTATCAATGGTTGTTGAAGCAGTTTGTTTTCCAGATGATGTTTTACGGATTTGCTACCTGTAGAATGGAAATGATCCAAACTCAGTTGGAACCCAAAGATGGATCTTTGTTCCATTAGACTGCAAGTACGGCTGAGCTCATGATGTCATTTAAATGTAAAAAGCAACTCAAAGAGAGAGGTTGCCGTACCCACAAAATAAACCCATTATGCAAATCTGTGGACCAAAATGTTCAGTCTCTCTAGTTAAGCCCTTTGGGGTCCCGACCTTCTCCTCCTTTAAAAACCAGTAAGAGTTAAAAGTGTGTAATATTGACTGAATTGCTCTCCTTTCATTAAAAACCCAAGATCTTGAATGTTTTCAGGTCTTTGATGCACTTGGTAGCAGTGTGGGTTGTTAATAACATGTGCTGTGAAATTGTAGACAGTAGGCTCTATCTGCTGGAGATTCAGGTTCACTGCAAGCTGAGAGATAAGATTCCCCCCCCCCCCCACACACACACTCTTGTCCTGTTTGTAAAGTACATAACTTGCCTAAGGATGTCATGTGAAGCAGTTTATTTTCTGAAGATCATGGCGACTATTTCATTCATATGGATCCAACTGTATTCTGTTCTTAGTGTGATCCTTTCTGCTATATTTCATTAAAATGTGTGGTGTGCATGTACATGAATGAGAGATGGATGGATGGATTTCTAAGGCCTGGTTTGCAATGCCCTGTTGGACTACAGTTTAAAATAAACCATGGTTTAATGTGCATGAGTGCTTGCCTCCTCCCACCTGACACATTGGCTGTGCCACGCAGGGGAAGAACAAACCAAAGTTTGGCTTGTGGTGTTGTCCGAACCTAGGCTGCAGGTTTGCTTCTCTCCAAATATAACATGAATGGCAAGCCAAGGTCTGTTTTTGCCTTATGCTACTTCTTACTTGTTTGTTTGTGGCTGCCTGTGTGGCCCCGTAGGAGTGGGAGAGAAGCAAAGCACCTGTGCATGTTAAGCCAATGTTTACTTTACTTTACTTTACTTTACTTTACAAGGGTTT